TATGAAGAATTTTGTGCATGCCATCAGTGCAATAATTGAGCTCCTTAGTGGTGCAAGGTCATATAGCTAGTTTATTACCAAAATAGCAAACCTGTGTTGGTTGAATACTTTTCTTATTTTAGTATTCAATTACCCAACTCTGGTGTTGAAAAAAGACTGGAAGATGCATTTTCCTGAGGATCTGAGATACTTGCAATTTTGGCCTCATACCCATATAATTCCAGTTGCTGAAACCCCAAGATGGATGAGTTTCTTACAGGTTTTCCACACAACAGGTTAACCTTTCATCAAGGAATCCTCATACCATGCATGCTCTTTTTCTTCAGATGAATCCAGAGAAAATTAGGTCTGGATAATTTTGAGCTGGGTTAGTTTAACATTGTGAACATATTCACGACAGGCTATGTTTGGTACTACTTTCCATTTTCGTGTGTTTGTGTGTGTGTGTGTGTGTATTGCAGACTTTATCTTTGTTGCTGTTGTTCCCAAAGACCTTTTTCTAGTTGATAATTTTTGAGGGCTGTTTTTAAAAATACTGTTTTTGAAAATGCCAAATGCTTATCTATAGCCACTGGATGCTTTCCTCCATCCATTAGTTCAACAGGTGGTGACATATGGAATATGATGTTTACTGAATGAAGTTTATGTAGTGTGGGTGTGGTGCTTGTTTGGTGTTTTTCACCATTTTCACACTGGCGTGACAGCTGTGTATTATATAAACCTGCCTTTCCATCCCAAGAATAAACTGTTCAATAATAATCCAGGCTGGTTAGGCATGTGATGAATACTGGGAACAATTAAAACATTGAAGTACTAAATGTTTGGATTTGTTGGTATCTCCCGCCCTCAAAACAGGAATATCTGATAATAAATTAAGATTTCAATATATGAGAATTGCATCAATCCAAGCTTCCTATATTCAGTACTGTACATCTACACTTGTTGGCTAGAATTTTCTAAATCACATAGTATTGGGAGTTTTTAGATAGACTTAATTGGAGCAGAATTAGGACAAAACTAGTGCTTTGGAAAAATCCCTTCTCTTATATAGATAAAATAGTCAGAAAGACCAGAGTTAAATTCTCACGCACACCAAACCCCTCCTCATTTCCCTCAAAAAAGAAAAAAAAAATCCTAAAGCCACTGTTCCCACTAGGAATGCTAAACAGTCTGGATACACTCAAAGTTCTTGGGTTATGGATGCATTTTGGTCCCCTTGCTTCCTATCTTCTAATATTAATATATATATATTTATATTTAACTTGGAGGTAGTATGCTGCAGGTGAGCTGTGAGGTGAATTGCAGGTGATCTGAGAAGTCTGCTCCACAGGTAGTATGCTGCCTTTTGACACAGACCCACATGACATTCTTATAAGCAAACTAGGGAAATGTGGCCTAAATGAGGTGTACAACTGGTTGCAAAACCTTATTCAGAGTAGTTAGGATGTATCTAGTCGGTGCTGCGGAGGTCTGACCTGGGTCTGGTACTATCCAATATTTTCATTAATGATTTTGAATAATGAAGTAGCGCATATGCTTACAAAATTTGCAGGGTTGCAAGCTCTTTGTGAGACTGGATTAGAATCCAAAGTAACCTTGACAAATGGAGAATTGGTCTGAAATCAACAAGATGATATTCAATAGAGACTAGTACGTAGGAAGAAAAAAATCAAATGCGCAACTAGAAAATGGGGACTAACTGGCTATGTGGTAGCACTGCTACACAGGATGGGGGGGGGGTAGGTGAAGTAGGTGAAGAGTAATGGAGTTAATCTGCAGGAAGGGAGATTTAGGTTAGATATTAGGAAAAGCTTTCTAACTATAAATTAAGTTTTGGGTTAGGCTTCGAAAGGACATTGTGGAATTCCCCTCACTGAAGGTTTTTAAGAACAGGTTGGACAAACACCTGTCAGGGATGGTTTATGTTTACTTGACCCTGCCTCAGCCCCAGGGGCTGGACTTGAGGACCTCTTAAGGTCCCTTCCATCCCTATATTTCTATGATTTATACTCCAAAAAAGGAAGGAAATAGAATTAAGCCTTCAACTCTTTTTTCTTAAGTCACTCATGGCTCTCTCATTATTTATAGATACTCTAGTATCAGTGTGTGTGAGAGGGAGGCGCATAGTAGAATTCTAATTGTTCTCTTCAATGTTATAATTTATACAGTGATCAGCATTAGCATTTTCAGGGATTTGTCCAGCGCTGTGTTATGTCAATATATAGCCTTCTTTTGTTTTGTTTTTTTAACCCTTTGCCTCAGTGTTAGGTTTCTCTGAGCCCCATACTGCTGCCTTTGGCACTACTACTCAAATTATAAACCTCCAGAATATAGGGGAACCTTTTCAGATATAAGGAGGATCCAGTTTGGTGAGACTCCTGAGCGTGGCACCAGATTGAGCTTCAGCCTTTGTGAACATCTTGCTTGTCCCCTTTTTTGCCTCCCTCTAAAGTAACAGAGTAATATCTTATTTGCTAACACCTTCCCTCCCTGATCTCAAAGTGTTTTGTAAACATTAATTAATTAAAATCTTACAGCCAAGTGTTCTTATTTGTCATTTGGCCTAGAGGGTGTCTGAGGTCACACAGTAATACATTTGCAGAATTGGAAACTGAGTGGAGCTCTACGTCTATTCAAGCTTGCAACACCTCTTTTGCTTTTAAACCAAAGCCATCTTAAAGACTAATTTGTATTTCTTACTATTGTGATTATTTTATTTCTTGAACTGGTCAGAGAAGTCTGAAATCAGTACAATCATGCCCCCTTTTCTTTTTTGAACTTTTGTAGAATTTTAAGGAAAGAGAGAAATTAAAATCTGAATATAACTGGTGCCATTTGACACCAACCAGCTCTAAGTACATGAAGAAAGGTGGTGTTCTACGGAAAGCTTAAACTGATCTCTAACTGTACTACAATAAAAACTCTGAAAGCTTTTCTTAAAATGGTGCTGGTTGTCACTACACTTACTTTATCTCCGACAGGAATCAGTGTTGCTATATTAAGTAAAACAATTCAAAACTAACTTTTAGGTGTATTAATGCCATAGCTACCATTTTCTTCACAGGTAGTGATGTACTTAATGAGTTGGAAGCAATTTTGTGGATTTTCATTGAGCTTAGCTAAGCGGAACCCAGCTACTTTAAAAAAAAACAAAAACATTTTTTATGATTATGGTCCTTTGTGAGTGGTGGCTGACATGATGTAGATTCATTGAGAATCTGATTGCTCAGGGACTGTGATAGTAGAAATTCAGGTGTTAATCTGCAGAGAGAGAAAATTGGCAACAATTTTTTATTCTGTTGCACGTGTGTTTAGGAAAAACTAGTTTGTCATTGAGTGAGAGTTAAGTCAAGTTAAGATGTCAGATCTGGCTGTGGGAAAAAATGACTTGCAAGCTGTAAGGGGGCT